CAACAACAAACAACACCAAAGAGAGCAGCTGATGGGGTTCTTCAAGTGCTTTTCCCATGCTGCTAGTTCAGGGTGCCTGAGTAGCCAGGCATCTTGAGAACTCAAGGGTGCTGCTAGAAATGGCAACCCTGTCTCTAGATCAGGGGTCAGCAAGTTTTCCTTACCTGGGGCTGGTCCGCTGGTCCCCAGGCCTTCCGCGGGCCAAAGGTGGAGGGAGAAATGGCGCTCGTGCACGCATTCGCATTACACCAAAAGTACTGCGCATGTGTGCACACGCTCGCTCGCGCATGTGCAGTACTTCCGGTGTACTGCGCATGCGCGAGCGAGTTGCGGCCGCCATTTTTTTTTTTTTTTAGGTTGTCTTTTGTCTCCTCCATAAAGTGTAAATGGGGGAGCTTGTGTTGTGACTGCCTACTTATCAAGGGTTTTCTATCTGTCTTCCATACACTTTGCCTTCAACTGGAAGAAACGTGTCCAGCGACCAGAATGGTGAAAGGTCTGGAAACCAAGCTCTATTAGGAGTGGCTTAGGGAGCTGGGTAGGAGAATAAAAGGCTAAGAGGGGACACAATCGCTGTGTTTAAATATTTGAAGGGATGCCACATTGAGGATGGAGCAAGCTTGTTTTCTGATGCTCCAGAGACAAGGAAACAGAGCAGTGGATCCAAGTAATAGAGAAAGAGATTCCACGTAAATATTGGGAAGAACTTCCTGATATCACAGCTGTTCAGCAGTGGAAGATGCTGCCTTGGAGAATAGCGGAGTCTCCTTCTATGGAGGTCTTTAAATAGAGGCTGGATGGCCATCTGTCGGGAGTGCTTGGATTGTATATTCTTGCATGGCAGAACTGGATGGACTGGACTGGATGGCCTTTGGGATCTCTTCCAGTTGTATGACTAAGCATAACTTGACTACCGACCATGAAATCTGAGGAAGTAACTCAAGTCTACGTAAGCTCATGCTATCGACGTCTCTCTTTCCATTAGTCTCAAAGGTGCTACAAGATCCCTTTGCATGCTGATTTTCCAGACTAATATGGCTATGGCTTTGAATGAAATGTGTGTATGCTATGGGAAAGTCTGCCTGCGTGTCCACTTCCAGTGACTACTTCTGTGTTTTTCAGCATTTCTAAAACTTCCCGCAGTCTGTTTTAGCTTTCCTGGCCTACTGTTTCCATTAAAAAAAACAACACTCTATTGCAATTTTTTAAAAAGAAAGACATCATGGATCTATTCCTCTTGTAAACCCCTATTTTGTTTTGTTTTTTACCCCCAAAAAAATTAAATAAAAAAATGAAGGAACAGCCCAGGCATCCTGCCTCAAAATTCTCTTCACGTTGACCTTCTCTCAGCCTCAGCCGAGAACAAGGATTAGCAATTCTGGCTGCAATATCTCTGAGAGCTCCCCTTGAAGGCCTCTAGGCTTTGGGGAAAGGCCAAGTGGAGTCCTTTCAGCCTTCCTCTAGTGCCTTCTTTCCAAGTTTGCTTTCTGCAAAGTTTGAAGCACACACATGTGTTTATAAAAACTGGTTCTTTTGGATTTGGGGTTTTTCATTTTGCATTTTGGAACGCCTGCATTTAATTGCACCCTATACATTTGCACAGGTTGAGTGTCCCTTATTTGAAATGCTTGAGAGCAGAAGTGTTTCCCTTTTTCTTTTTGAATTTTAGAATATTTGCATACACATATTGAAATATCTTGAAGGGGGGACCCAAGTCTAAACACAAAATTCCTTTATGTTTCGTATACATCCTATGGGAGAGCCAGCA